AGAATCACTTTACTAATTCTTGGATTTTAGATTCTGGTTGTTCTTATCATATGTGTCCAAATAAAAACTGGTTCGAAACCTACAAATCATATAGTGGGGGGTCTATTCTAATGGGGAACGATGCAGACCATTGGAATAAGAACTATTAAAATCAAGATGTTTGATGGGATAGTACGAACCTTATCAGATGTGAGGCGTGTCCCACAATTAAAGAAAAACTTAATATCTCTGAGAGCTCTTGATTTGAATGGTTGCAAGTATACAGCAACAGGTGGAGTCCTCAAAGTTAGTACGGGATCTATGGTTGTCATGAAAGGTCAAATGACTAGGAACCTATACAATTTGATAGGGAATACAATTACAGGTGGAGCTTCTGTAACCACAGATGTTGAGTCCAACACATATGACACAAATCTGTGGCAAATGCGTTTAGGGCATATGAGTGAACAACGTATGATGGAACTTCATAAAAGAAAATTGTTGAAGGATGTCAGAGCCTGTAAACTGGTTTTCTGTAAGTACTGTGTTTTCGATAAACAATGCAAGATTAGATTCAAAACTGCAATTCATACGAGCAAGGGTACTAGACAATGTACACACTGATGTATGGGGCCTTGACCAATCAAATCCAAGGGTGGGGCAGAATACTTCATTACCTTTATTGACTATTACTCAATAAAGGTTTGGGTCTACTTCATGAAACACAAAAGTGAAGCATTCACGATGTTTAAAAAATGGAAATCTGGGATAGAAAGAAAGACAGGAAAGAAACAGAAATGCTTGAGATCAGATAATGGAGGGGAGTACAAGTCTAGAGAATTTTAAGAATTCTATAAAGAAGAGGGGATTGTACGTCACTTTACCACATCAGAAACTCCTCAACAAAATGGTGTGGCTGAGAAGATGAATAGGACTCTTTTGAAAAGAGCTCGCAGTATGAGATTGAATGCAGATTTAAAGAAAAGTTTTTGGGCAGAAGCAGTTAACATGGCATGTTTCATCGTTAATAGGTCACCATCTAGAGCGATTGATTGCGAAATTCCAGAGGAGATGTGGACAAGAAACCCGGTAGATTACTCTATGCTGAGGATCTTCGGATGTCCAATCTATGTCCATGTGCAAAGTGGGAAACGTTCCAAATTAGACTCTAAGTCTAAGCAATGCATCTTTCTCTGTTTTGAGAAGGGAGTGAAGGGATTCAAGCTTTGGGATCCTACTTCACATAAGGTTGTGCTTAGCAGGGATGTTGTGTTTGATGAACCTCACATGGTGAAGTCAATCAACATGCAAGATGACAAAGTGCAAGTAGATGAAAGTGATGAAGAAAGATCGACAGTCCAAGTGGAGCTAGAAGAGTCTGAAACACCATAAGAGGAAAAATCATCTAGCAGCATACCAGAGCAGCAATAATCACACGGTGAACTCTACAGTTTGGCAAAAGGCAGAAAGAAGCGTGTTCACAAAGCCCCTGTAAGATATGGCTTTGAGGACATGGTAGCCTTTGCTCTAACTGTTGGTACTGGGGAAATCGACTCCTTCGAAGATGCTCTAAGTGATGCACAAAGTGATAACTTGATGACAGCCATGATGGAGAAGATGAAATCTCTGAAAAAGAACAAAACTTGAGAGCTTGTCAAGACGCCCAAGGGAAGGAAAGTGATTGGGTGCAAGTGGATCTTTCGACAGAAAGAAGCAGCAACAGAAAAGGAATGTGAGAGATTCAAGGCTAGGCTCATAGCAAAGGGCTACACTCAGAAGGATGGAGTGGACTACAATGAAATATTCTCTCTGGTTGTCAAACACACTTCAATAAGGCTATTACTTGCTTTAGTAGCCATATTTGATTTAGAGTTAGAACAGCTTGAGTGAAGACAACGTTTCTTCATGGTGATTTGGAGAAAGAAATCTTTATGAAGCAACCTGAAGGCTTCAAAGTGCATGGAAAGGAAGATAAAGTTTGTTTGCTCAAGAGATTGCTTTATGGTCTTAAGCAATCTCTCAGGCAGTGATACAAGCGCTTCGACTCTTTCATGGTGCCGATTGGCTATTCAAGAAGTGAGTATGATTGTTGTGTTGATTTTAAAGTTCTTGATGATAATTCCCTTATTCTCTTGATGCTTTATGTTGACGACATGCTCATCGCTGCCAAGAATGCATGTGACATAACTTCTGTCAAGTCTATGTTAAATTCTGAGTTTGATATGAAGGACCTAGGGCCTGCTAATAGGATCCGTGATATGGAGATTCATACAGTTAAAAGTGTAGATAAACTCTGGGTAACTCAGAAAAAGTATGTTGAAAAGGCGTTTAACATGGAAAATGCCAAGTCAGTTAACACTCCATTGGCGAGTCACTTCAAGTTATCTGAACAGCAGTGTCCCACTACAGATGAGGAGATAAAGCAAATGTCTCTGGTGTCATATGCTAACGCAGTAGGAAGCCTCATGTATGCTATGGTTTGTAGCACGCCAGATTTATCTCATGTTGTCAGTGTTGTCAATCGATACATGAGTAATCCTGGAAGGGAGCATTGGACTTCTATTAAGTGGATTTTCAGATATCTGAGCGGGACGTCAGATCTCGAAATTATGTTCAGCAGGAAAATAAGCTCTACAGAACAGGCGGGATATGTCGTTTCGACTATGTTGGTGATTTAAACAAGCAAAGATCTACTACAGGGTAGGTCTTCACACTAGCAGGTGGACCTATTTCATGGAAGGCAATGCTTCAATCCACGATTGCCTTGTCTACGACAGAGGCAGAGTACACACAGCAATTGAGGCTGCAAAGGAGGCGATCTGGTCGACTGGTTTGGCTCGTGAGTTGGGGGGTGGAGCAAGAAGGTACTGTGTTGCATTGTGATAGTCAGAGTGTCATAAATCTTACAAAGAATTAAGTGTTTCATACAAGGACAAAACACATTGATGTGAGATATCACAAGATCAGGGAGCTTGTGTCAGAAAGAATCATTCACTTGAAGAAAATTCATACGAATGACAACCCTATAGATATGCTTACAAAACCGGTCACCACAGAAAAGTTCAAGTTTTGCTTGGACTTGCTTAATGTCTCTCATTGTTGAGAGTGAGGAAAGCATCCCATAGGGGATGGGGGTGCAGTAGCGTACCTTTATGGAGGTAAGGGGATGAAGACATCTTCAGGGTGGCTCGACAGCCAAAGTGGAGATTGTTGAGGATTGATGTCTTGTATTATGGGGAAATATAGCTGCCAAGGTTTGAATATATCCGTACATGGGATTCGATATATCTGAGACTTGATATATACATATCCATACAAGGGTATTTTGGTAATTTGTACCATCTATCTGGGACTCGATATATGTCGTTGCGATTGATCATCCAAAAAGTTAATGGTTAAGGGAAAAACACAAATCTCTTTCTAATTAGATAAAAAAAACAAAGAGACGTGAGAAAGAGAGAGTATTGTAACCCTATTCTCCATTGCCAGTAAAGTAGCTCTAATCTCCCGTGGACGTAGGTACATTGTCGAACCATGTATATCTTTGTGTTGTAGTTGATTGTCTCTTCTTTTGTGTTTGTTTCTTCTTTCTTGTTTTTTGTGGATTGCTTTTCGTTTCTGCAGCAGGAACTACCTCAAGCTTCTAACAATCATGGACTTGTTTCTCAAGTTCATATATAAAAAGATCTCCCATAAAGATCTACAAAAACTGTATGAATACTCTCCTCCAAGCATTCCAATCAGTGACAGCACAAAAGTTCCACAACGTCAAGAAACCACCTTATGCTTGATTTGAAAAGTTTCGAACAGTAGTTATTGAAACCATTTTCAATAGAGTTTAATCATCCCCACACTCTTTAAAGGAAGAACTAGAATAAAGAGTGATTCCTTTTTTATAAAGAGGAACGACAAAACAGTTATTTCTAGCAATATTAGAAAGAACCAAAGAGAGATTAACCCTTCAAGAGTGTCAAAAATCATTATTCTATTAGGACTCAGAATATTTAGATAATTCCACATTACCCATGTTTCAAATGTGTGTGAGTGTGTGTGTGTGTGTGGGTGGGTGTGTCTGTGTGTGAGTGTATATAATACCATCATCTACAAAGAAGATACATTGTCTGCTCTTCACCCAAAGCCACACACAACTTCTTAATCGACGTTGGATATAATAAGAGGATAATTTGCCTCTTAAAACAATCATTTTTCATTGATTTCTAATTTATCTCCAGGACATTGATAAATCTCACCAAAACTATATGAAGAAAATCTGTTGCTCCTTCTAAATTGATGGATTCTTGATTTACCCCCAATGACATTGAAAATAAGTGATGATCCATTCTAAGCTTTTAGAACTTTTTTATGTTTTTATTCCTTGTAATCTTTTGGAAGTTGGGAATGTTTCCTGATTCATAATAAAAAGAAAGAAAAGCTATAAAAAAGTAACACAGCTTGGGAATTTGAAGCAGGACCAGTAAACTAAGAGAAACATTCAACTGATCCCAACATCGATAAAATGCAGAATGAACAAATTAGTTTTAGTTCAGAATGTTTTTGTAGAACCTAATGTCATCTGAAAAAAGCTAAATGATGAACTTGGTGATGTATCATTACTCAGATCAGCTTAAAACCCCTTCTATCATACAAATCAAACAACAAAAAGGAAAAAACAAAATAACAGTTTTTGAGCTGAATAGAACGACAGAAAATCAGAAACACGCATGAATATGATATGAAGAGAATCATAAACCATAGAACAACGTAGAAGGCATAAACTCCATGAAAATTCTAGAATTTTCAACGTAAACAACACAAACTCCATCCAATCACAGTATACGTTTCTCTTTCAAAATTGCCTGTCAAAGTTACAAATTTATGGAAAAATAAAAAATTTCAGTCAATTTCCATAGAATTCAAATTTAGTAAAAAAATCTTCAACATCAATAACAAATTATCCAAATCACGAAAAAAAAAGGATCTCCTAAAAAGAAACAAACACAATATGATGAAAGCATGCTTACCTTTTCTTCTTTCTTGGCTTCACGAGAGTTCCAATAGACGTCTACATAAACCAGAAGGTCTCTGGTTTGCCTCACAAGCTCTGCAGGGGTTCGAGGCTTGGACTTGAAGAGGCCCTTCATCTTTCCTCCCCCAAAAAACCTAGGGTTTGGAGAAACCCTAGGTTTCGGAAAACACCCTCTTTCTCTCAAAATGTACCCTGGCGTCTATCCAAAACCTAATTTTCTCCGAATCCCACTTCTGCAACACCCTAAGGTTTCATAAGACCCTAAATTTGAAACAAAATATCAACCTTTGCTACTGAGAAGACTTAGGGCTTCTGAAAACCCTCGATTTCAGCAAAACCTTATCCGACAAGAGAACAACGACCGTTTCAGAAGAGGTAGGGCGCTTAAAAAGAGAGAGAGCTTCGAGGAGTATCCTCAGAAATCGTTAATGTCGTGAAAATTTCACTACAGTCATTAAAAATTCGACTGAAATTGGGGAAAATCGGTGATCAAATAGACGCCGGTTAATGGCCGTGCCCTGCGTTTCTTCTTCTTTTTTTCTTTTCTTTTTTTTTTCCCCGCTACCCTTAAATGAAAATAAAGGACGAAAATAAAAATAAATAAAATATTGATTTGGAGAATTTAATGAGTAGAGAGAAAAGAGAAACGGAGAGTGCGTTTTTAGAGAGAGAGTTTGATCGATGGACTTTGTTGGATGCACGTGCGAAGTGTCACAGCCGCTAGCGATAAAGGCGATGTGGGAGAACTGACATGGTGGTGCCCGTGTGTTTTGCGAAATTACGGAAATGCCCTCCCATGTTGCGAATCTCCTTCCCTCAAAGGGGACGCGGTTAGCATGCGGCCAAACCCGCACATGTAGAAATACGGGTTTAGCAATAAATGTATTTTTGAAATATAATTCAATCCTAATTTTTAAATGATATGTAATATTTAATATGGAGATCATGAATATAAAAAAATAAATAAATTTTAAAATTAAAAATAATAATTATATTAAAAAAACATTTGGACCGTTAATTACAATTGTTTTTAAATGGCCCACCTATATTTATATATCTTTAAGATGAATGTTTTATACTTTTGGACTGCATATTGTACACATGCGGTCCAGTCCGCATGAAACAATTGTTCCAAAGGGGGTATTTCATTGGGTTCTATTTTGTCCCACATTGACTAGAAAGAAAGGGTAAAGCAAATTGAGAAATAGGAATCCATAGTCTGGCTTGGCCCACGAGCTTTTTTGCCGCGCCTAATTTTGGATTGGGTTCAGACTAGCTTGGGTGAGGTTCGAAAATCCCATTTTAATTTCACATGGGGTCTGGCTATGTATTGAGCGGCTTGTTCCCATCCTGAAATCATAAACGCTCAAAGAGTGACACCTCTCTCTCTAATAAACTAATAATAAACACGCAAGGCCCTCTATCTCTATGTTAAAAACCTTCTCTATCAAAATTCAATTCGGGATTGTATATGAGACTATTTACCTTTGATACAATGATATCACAATTATGTATAACCATCCCATGTGAAATCTAATAAATTGGGTGTGTCACGAAGTCCAAAAATATTTCTTTTGAGGTTTGTGTATAGTCAATGGAATAAATGCAACTATCCAATTTATCCAATTTCATCTCCAATGGTCAAGATTAATGGTGACCACCTTGTAAAAGGTAGTCTCATTATCTAATTTTCCAATTCAAAAACTCCCTACATCATAAAAACTCTAATATCTCAAAAGACCTTCTTCCTCTTTGTTACAAAATCCCTAATCTCTCAAAATCCCTCTTTCCCTTGAGCTCCATTGATCGCTGCAACATTTGAAAATAGTCTTACGGGAGCAACCTTCAAGCTAGGAAAAGCGCTCGTGCTTAATTGGTTAGCGTTTGATGATTTGCAACACTGTGTCCTAAGCTCAATTCCTATCAAAAGTAGGAGCCCTCTTCCCCAGCTGACTCACTCAAAGAAAAAAACAAAAAACAAAAAACCTTCAAGCTCGATGTAAATGCAAGTGTATCCGGGATAACCTCATGAGCTGCATTTTGTGGTATTGATTTTTTATTGAGGGTTTTTGCCAACGATTTAAGTTGTTCAATGATTTGAATATTAGAGTTTTTCTTACCTAATTAAGGTTAGATAAACTTGATTAGAGTCCTATTAGAAGGTTCCTTTGCTCAGTTTTTTTTTTTTTCTGAACTTGAATATATTGGTTCTTTTGTTTAAAGTACATTATTTTTTTATATTGAGATATTATTATTTGATTAGGTCTTATATGCTTCTTTTATATAACTTATTGTTTATTTTTGTAATGTTTTTTGCAATATTTTTTTGGCAGTCTATTTATTTTTTTGGATTGCTTGGTAGTTCAGATTTTGCTAGTAGGAAATCTCTTAAATTGATCTGAGTGCTCATCATATGTGAGAGAAAGAGAGTTTCTTTTGACGTTTTAGTAGCACTCTCTAATTTTTTATTACATGCACTTACGCTAGAGGGAGAGAGAGATTTTTGTTTCTTAGCTTTTTTTCTCCTTTTTTTTATTATTTTTTTCTTGGAAAATTTAACAGTATACTATCATTAACAGTATTTTCACACACACAGGTTGGATTTATCTTTTTTCACTCATTGATTTTCATGTTTAGCCGCACCTTCTTTTTTTTTTTTGCCATTTTTTTTTGTGGTTCATTACAACATATACTGGTTTGTGGTCTTTGTGTTTGATTTTTTTTAATCCTCTTGCCGTATAGTATAAATAGACACATAGATCATAAACATAAAAAATTACAAACAAAACTTATGTGCTATTATTTATTTCTATTAGCATACAAAATATGAAGTTGTGACATCCTATCCTTTTGTCATCAGGTTTATGCCTAATCCAACTCCTAAAGGAAGGCCACAAGCTGCATCTTATTGTCATTTAATGCGTCCATCATGCATAAAAAAAAGCTAATTATGGGGTTGAAGCTACCTCAGTTATAGCCTAACCCACTAAGTTATCTGGTGGTTATGATTATTGATGAATAAAAAGCCTTTAAAGAGCCAAAAAAAAAAAAAAAAGAGAAAATAGGCCTCCAAAATCCATAAAACCTTCAAGATTGGTAACCTTGGTTAAGCTTTAACCATGGATGAATAATGCCGAACAACTTTCTCATAATTTTTATATGAGAAAGCACTCTTCATTTTTGTCGTTATCGTCAAGAAAAAGCTAAATTTTTGTCGTTATCGTCAACAGTAGAACCCTTTTTCTAATTATTTAGAATCTACTAAAAGAAAGCCAAGTTTCATATGGGAAATATTCTCACATGATTTAGAAGCATATCCAGTGTGGATGCAAATGTAAAAATCACATTTTCATTATCATCAAAACTTTTTTTCCAACTAAAAACAGCCAAATTTCATATGAGAAATATTCTCATAGGACTTAAAAGCATATTTGGTGCGGATGCAAATGTGCTCACTTAGAGATTCGAATAATATCTTCTCTCTCTCTTTGGACCATTGAATAATTTTCTACATGAATTATTGGAGTGGAATTATTGTGAGAATGGTTACTTTAAACTTTACAGAGAGAAGGACCGCTTGTTGATATGAAAGAAAAAGCTAAGGGAGAATAAATGTGGGGAAGGTTGGGATGGTACGCAACTTTCCTCATTGGATGCAGTTTCTATAAAGCCTAGGCTGCATGAACACAAAAATAAAATAAAGCCTCACTTTGAACCTTATCCAAAAAGCATTTTAGGTATAAGAAATATCTATGATGGCTCTATAGTTAATTTCTAACATTGATTATGAAAATTGAAACTCAAAGACTAGTACGGATCTTGTACATCTATGAACCTTTCAATTTTAGGGTAAAATGGATAGTCTAGATAATGTGTTTATATACACTACCTTTAGGGTTTGAAGTCCTAATTTTTTTTAACAACTATAATAATAAAGGCCGAGTTGATTGATTTGAAAGTTTTTCAATACCTAAAATACAATTTTAGGTGAGTTTTGATGTGAGGCCTTACTTTTTTTTTTTTATGTGGCTGCAACCCCATCGAAACATTTTCCTTGATTATTTGATGCCCACAAAACTCTAGTCTAGACTCTAGACCACCCCTCATTTTAAACCTAATATTTTCTCGGCTTGCTATGAAAAAAGCCAACACAATAATGCTACTATGACGTATGTATGTCTACATAAAAATTGGCAACAACTAATATTATATGCAATTCCTATGCCATTTTCTCTCTTTTCGAATGTCTGTGGCCATTTTCACTCACCAAGAGTAATCATACAGTTCCATGGCAGTTCAACGCTGACTAACGACTGATGAGTTCCCTCAAACCCACGCTGTTGGCTGATTTCCAAAATATGTTACAGTATACTATTCTTATATGAGAAATGGAGAAAAACATCAATTGATGGAAATGGTTGATATATATTTTCTCAATCGTTTTCATGAAGTAAAAGTGAGTGCAAAAATTTATATATACACCCAAATAAAACTGCTTTATATAATTAAGGTATTTTTTTCTTGAGGGTATTCCTTAATCTACTTAGTATTTAACACCCATTTGCTCAAAATTTTTGCTAGAGGCCATTATTATTATCGTCATAATTTTTTTCTAACTATTTGGAGTCGGCCACATGAATCCTGATCCGCCATTCTGCTCTATCAATAGGCATACCCTCAATAAGGTTATAAGTCATTATATTTTTTTTCATTACTTCCAACCATATCCTTTTATGCTTATCTGTTGCCATTTTTTAGCTTTCTACTCGAACTAATTCGCACCTCGTAACAAATGAGGTATTGGGTCTGCGCTACATATGGCCAGCCTATCTAAGTTTACTTTATCTCATCTTATTGCCAATTAGAGCTACATCTAAGTTCTCTCGAATGTATTTATTTCGAATTCCATCCCTTCTTGTCATTCCATTCATTTATCTCAATATCCTCATCTTAGTTACACTCATCATATGGGTATGTTGTTTATTGACTGCCCAATATTCTGTCCCGTAAAACAAAACTAGTCTCATAGTTGTCTTATAAAACTTCCCCTTTCGATTCATTGATATGTTGTGATCATATAAAACGTCGGTTGCACATCTCCACTTCATCCACCTAACTCTAATTTTATGTGCAATATCTTTTTCAATCTCTCTATTTTTTTGGATTGTTGACCTAAAATATCAAATGTATTTTAGAGGTATTTTAAGTAAATAATCAAGTTATAAGTATAAACTTTTAGTATAAATACAAACATTTACTAACTATAGTAGGGAATGATATAACGTAGATTGGATAAAACATAAGATTATTTGGTGTGATACGCCAATGTGGAACATTAATTATTTTCTAACAATCAATAAAATTTTACCATTTTTATTAAAAAAATATTCTTTCCACCCCTCGCTAATGACAACAAAATCTTTAATAAAAAGTCTTCGCATAAAAAAGACAGGATGATTAGTGGTCGATATATGGTTAGTAAATTTAAGGATTTAATAGAAACGAGTAACCTAAAAACCCTTATATGTCTGAGCCTAACACCATTGCATCATTTTCTCCTAGAGTTATTATTGGATTCTCGTAG